TTCATAATATATAAGTGGTCGGCGTGCCACACGATCCCATTTCATAATATATAAGTGGTCGGCGTGCCACACGATCCCATTTCATAATATGTAAGTGGTCGGCGTGCCACACGATCCTATTTCACAATATTAGTGGTTGGCGTGCCACACGATTCCATTTCATAATATATAAGTGGTCGGCGTACCACAAGATCACATTTCATAATATATAAGTGGTCGGTGTGCCACACGATCCCATTTCATAATATATAAGTGGTCGGCGTGCCACACGATCCCATTTCATAATATATAAGTGGTCGGCGTGCCACACGATCCCATTTCATAATATGTAAGTGGTCGGCGTACCACACGATCCTATTTCACAATATTAGTGGTTGGCGTGCCACACGATCCCATTTCATAATATATAAGTGGTCGGCGTGCCACACGATCCCATTTCATAATATATAAGTGGTCGGCGTGCCACACGATCCCATTTCATAATATATAAGTGGTTTCCCGGCAAGGGAGAATACGACTAAGCAGTTAAATCCCGGCAAGGGAGCAACAACAATAACTTACACGTCCCGGCAAGGGAATAATCACATCTCTTTCTCTTACGTTCATTTCTTACTTTTTAATCAAGTCAAAAATCGATCCAACGCTCCCAAGAGTTTACACATCATATTTCCTTCTCATTCTCTTCATATCATATAGAAACCATCAATTAACAAGGAAGAGTCACTACAGAATTCCAATTAAGCACAAATAAAGACCCACGGTCATGCTAGACACCGGTGTATAGATACTCGTCACCATGCCTATACACCGTACTCAACATTTAGCAATTAGCAAATAATACTCTTATCCTATTCCCTCGAGCCAAAGTTAGATCAAACACTTACCTCGAATGCTCCAAACTCAACTCAAGCCTCTAGTATAGCTTTACCCCACGAATTCGGCTCCAACACAGTCAAATCTATGAAATAACGACTTTATAATATCAATAGCTAAACAAATCAAACCCAATGCCTAAATATAGATTTCCAACCTTTCTTCCAAAAATTCCAAAATCGACCCCGGGCCCGCTTGGTCAAAACACGAGGTTCAAACCAATTCCATGTTACCCATTCCCCCACGAGCCCGGATATACAAATTGTTATCAAATTCGACCCCAAAACGAGGTCTAAATCAAAGAAAATCGAAAAACCCTAACTCTACCCTTTTCCCCCAATTTCCACCCTAATCTATGTGATTTAAGCTTGGAAACCTACTAATTAATGAAGAATAATGAAGGAAATAAGTAGGAAATTACTTACCCAAGTGGTCTTGAAAAATGGGGGCTTCAATGGCTTCCTAAAGCTTGGGAGAGAAGAGAGCTCGTGAGAAATATGGACTAAATCCTGTAGCTACTGTTTTGAAACTTAAAAAAAATCACTGAGCGCTTTTGTGCTACGTGTTTGCGACAGGAGCGTCGCGTTCGTGAATAAGGGGGAGCTGGCAAGCTACGCGTTCGCGAGGGAAGGACTGCGAACGCGAAGAGGAAGTACTGGGGGATCCAAAGAATTGGCCTACGCGAACGCGTCGACCATCACGCGGACGCGGAGAAGGAAAAAGCCAAACCATCGCGATCACGATGGCCTGAATGCGAACGCGAAGAAGGGTGGCCTCAAAGCTATGTGGACGCGAAGGGGGTATTGCGAACGCGAAGAAGGATTCTTCTGTGTAAAAATTGAAGAAAAATCTGATGCCTTCCTAAGTTCAAAACCATCCCGAACACCTCCGAAAGCACTCCCGAGCCCTCGGGGCTCCTAACCAATCACACACACTAACTCAACAACATCCTACGAACTCAACCGTGCGATCAAATTGCCAAAATATCATCAAAATCAATGAACTAAACCTCAAAATCATCACTTTTTCATCAAACTTCATAAACTTTCATTTTTAGATATTTAGGTCCGAAACACGTCAAATGACTTCCGATTTCAACCAAATTTCATAGAATGCGCTTAAACCATATATAAGACTTGTACCGGGCGTCGGAACCAAAATACGAGCCCGATACCATAGTCTTTTAATCAATTTTCATTTCTAATTTCTATATAAATTTCAGAAAAAAACAATTTCTTTTAAAAAATTCATTTCTCGGGATCGGGACCTCGAATTTCGATTCCGGGCATACGCCCGAGTCCCATATTTTTCTACGGACCCTCCGGGACCGTCAAATCACGGGTCCGGGTCCGTTAACCCAAAATGTTGCATATTAATATTAAAATTCATAGATTTTTACATAGAATTCATATTTAAGCTTTCCGGCTACGCGCCCGGACTGCGCACGCAAATCGAGACAAGTAAAAATAAGGTTTTCAAGGCCTCGGAAGTACAGAATGAAAGAGAAAATAGGTGATGACCCTTTGGATCGTCACAGATAACCAAGGAACACACAAGTGATAGCCCTAGGATCAAGTTTGCCCCTAAGATTAGGCAAAGTAGAAGCAAAACATAAGCATCCAAAACTTCTAAGAAAAGTGTAGTTAGGAGGTTTGTGGAATAGTATTTCATAAGGAGACTTGTAGTGTAGAAGTTTGGTAGGAAATCTATTAATGAGAAAAGTAGCAGTAAGTAGACATTCCCCCCAATAACAAATAGGTACTTTGGAATGAAAAAGAAGAGCTCTACAGGTTTCCATCAAATGTTTGTGTTTTCTCTCAACAATACCATTTTGCTGAGGGGTCCCAATACAAGTGGTTTGGTGAATAATCCCTTTGATAAGTTATGGCAGCAAGACTGCTTCCTAGCTCAAAAGCATTATCAGACCTAACTTTCTTGACTTTGGCTTCAAATTGTCTTTCTACCATAGATATGAAAGATTTGAGAACAGTGAAGGCATTACTTTTAGTACTGAGTAGGTATGTCCAAGTACCCCTACTAAAATCATCAACAATAGTAAGGAAATACTTAAAACCATTGTAGGTGGGTTCCTTATAGGGTCCCCAGGTGTCAATATGAATAAGTTCAAAAATATGAGAAGTAGAACTTGTGCTGTCTGGAAAAGATAATCTGTGTTGTCTAGCCATAGGACAAATAGAACAAGGAATATCTTCTTTACAAATAGCAAATTGTGGTAAGACAGAAATATATCTCATGGTAGAAATGGGTAAATGTCCTAGCCTTACATGCCACAGATTTTTATCAATGTTAACAGAGTTAGACATAATAGGAGAATTGCAGTATGGTAAAGAAAAGTTCTGTGAAAAAGTGACAGCTTTATTTGAATGCAGGGAACCAGCAAGCTTGTGAGTTGAGTGGAAAAGGTAAAGACCAGCCTTCACATCACCAAGGAGCAGGGGCCTCCTCAAAGAAAGGCCCTGCATCAAACAACAAGTTTCAGCAAAGGTAAGAAGAACTTTGAATTGAGTGCACAATCTGTTAACTGAAATGAGGTTGAATTTAAAGTCTGGGACATAAAGAACTCTGTGTAGAGTCAAATCTGGATGTATGGTGACTTGTCATGCTAGAGTTACTCTTACTCTTTGTGAATTAGGAAGATTAACATTAACAGGATTAGGTAATGGCTTGATATTAACAATGATGCTAGAGTCAAAAGTCATGTGTTCTGAAGCACCAGAGTCAAGAATCCAAATATGACTCCTAAGATTGCTTTGTGAATAGGAAAGATTAGGCAAGCATGTACCAGCACAATTAGCATTGGCAATGGTTTCAGAATTTGTTACAGCTTCCTGACCAATTTTAACTTGTTAAAGTAATTCCATTAGTTGTGTCAATTGTTCCTGCTTTATACCAATGGTTGCTTCCACATCATGGGATTGAACTTGACCATAACCTTCATCTGTTGTTACTGCATTTCCTTGAACAAAATTCTGAAATCTTCTTTGTTTGAACCCTGGCTTGAAATTCTGTGGATAACCATAAAGTTTATAGCATTTGTCGATTGTATGTCCTGGTTTTTTGCAGTAGTTGCAATTTAGACTTCTCCTGTTGTCTTGATTAGTTCTAAAGTTATAACCACCAGTATTCACTGCAGAGGTTGTAGGTTTAACTTGAGTTGAATTAAATCTCTGTGTTGATACAGCAAATGACCCAGATTCACTAGGATAATGTCCCAAGTTCTGTATCCCTCTTTGCCTTTCCTCTTGCAAGAGTAAGTAGTAAGCCCTATCAATATTAGGTGGAGGATGCATCATCATGATATTTCCCCTAACATTAGTATATGATTCATTTAGCCCCATAAAAACTGAACCAATTTCTGTCTCTCTTCAAGTGCATCATTCTTATCATTAGCTCCACACTTACAATCAACACAAATACACACAGTCCTTGCATCAAGTAATTCTATTTCATCCCATATAGCTTTTATCTTGTTAAAATAAGTAGCAATGTTCGAAGATCCTTGCACTGTTTCTAATAGTTGTTTTTGCAATTCAAATGACTGAGCTAGGTTGGATTGCCCATACCTATCTTCAAGTTGTTTCCACAGAATCCTCGCAGATTTAGAGTGAATCACGCTAGGCCTGATGTCCGGAGTAAGGGAATTCAAAAGCCAAGCAAACACCATGTCATTGCACCTTATCCAATATCGCAAATCTGGCGAGTCATCCTTAGGCCTGATCAAGCTGTTGTCAATAAAACCTAGCTTGTTTTTAGCAGATAAAGCAATCAAAATTGATTTTCTCCATCCTCCATATCCAGTTCCATCAAAAGGAGGAGAAATCAAACACATTCCAGGAGAATCAGAAGCATGCAGAAAGTATGGATGATCTGGATCGATTTTGGTTGCTGCCATTAAAACAACTTCAAGGAGAAGATCTGAAGAATTTCAATGAATTTGAGTAGAAAACAGCTTCAAGGAGAAGATCTGAAGAATTTCAATGAATTTGAGTATAAAATCAAATGATCTAGAAGAAATTTGTAACAAAACAGTAGAAAAAATCGACTGGGTCGAGCAGATGCTCTGATACCATGTTGAATTTAGAGAGAGAAATTTTGTGGAAAGCAAAATGAATATTTTTCTCATTCAATTCTGTAACTGTTTACAATAATAGAGAATGAATATATATCTACAACTAACTAACTAACCTCCTTACTCATGTACATAATTACCCCTATTCTAGAAAGTACTAGAAGCTACTATTATTTATGTACATATGATAACAAAAGAAATAGTAAATTGATGTAGGTCCAGTAAGGAATAGTCTGATGAAGGCCCAATAGGCCCAATATCCACCTGTAACCCGTGTAGCCCAATATTGCCATTTAGTGAGAAGAAACCCTATCTTCTTTACCATTTCGTTGTTGTATCTCATCGGCAACATTATTCGTTTTGGCCCAACCGTTGTGGCTTGACATGGCACTTCTCCTCCTATTTTCATGTGAGATTTGTCTAAGGCAAGCAGCAAACTCTTTTTCGAGTTCAACTACTAGTGTGGGTTGTTGCACTCTTCTTTAGGGAAATAACGTTCTTATTACACTACCATATTAGAGGAGGAATCGTCTGCTTGCCTATGGAAATCTTCACCACGAACTTCCTAAAGACAATCTTCACTGAGAACTTCCTTTTAAACTCAATCGCTAATGTATGCTTATAATTGTAATGCATGATACATAAGAAAGAAATAAGTAATTATTTTGTCTCTTTCACCAAAGTTTATGATCTAACTAGTATTATTTATTTTAATATTTTGATGATTTGATAATCATATCACAAGAGTAATTGCATTTTCAATGAATTGAAGTAAATAATTTTTTATTTTTATAAAGAATTAATTACCAAGGTAGATTAAGGTAAGTTTTTCTTTTATCATATCAGGATAATCTCTTCTCATCTAAAACTGATGGTCAAAGTGGTCTATAAAGGAAAAAAATAATATGAATGTCAAAGGAATAAATACTATACATCTATAGTATATGAATTAATGTTACCACTAAAGTTGCATATCAAAAGACTATGTAGGTAAATTATATTAAAGTTTAGGCAGAGAAATAGAAATAACAATATGGTTTGATTTTATTTCTTTCCGAAACAAAATTATATTCCATATTAGTTTTATCATAATCCTAATCTCATCATCTTCCATTCAATATCTATTTACAAAATAAAATTGAACATAACTATAACTAAAATGAGTGCAAATAAAACAAGAGAGACAAGCTTAAAAACAGTACATCTAGTCATAATTCTGCTTCATGTTGTATTTTCTTATATGTGATTTATCTTTTTTTGGTATTAAAACTAATTTGAGGAAGTTGGCATGAAAAAGTTAGGTGTATGTAGACAATGTTCGAAAAAATTGCATAAAAAGAAAAAAAATTAACACAAAGTGACAAACTTATTGTGTGTTACTAGATAAAACAACAACAGAGTTATGTATTTTCCCTACTACCACCAAAGAAGAAAAAAGAAAAAAATTAAAAGACAAAGAAGCAGAATTAGAAAAAAATATCATTTCATTTGTATTATTACTTGATTCCTCCTATATAAAAGGTAGGGACAAACCTCATTTCTATTGTAAGAGAAATTAAGAGAAATAAGTTAGCAAAAAATTCTCAGACATGAGTTACTCTTTGAGCAAGACGTTTGTAATATTACTTGTGTTATCACTTTATTCTGCACAAGCAACAAATGCCAAAAAAATAATCTTTCCAATTTTTTATAGACATCGGATTCATGTTCATATCGTTGATGGGATTCAAGCAAACTCTCCTCAATTAAGCTTTCATTGTCAATCTGACGATGATGATCTTGGATATCATTACCCTACTCTAAATCAAGAATTTCAGTTCGATTTCAAGCTTCGTGTTTTTGCTGTTACTCTATTTTATTGTCACTTTTGGTGGGGTACAAAACAAGCAATGTTTGATGTGTTTAGAGTAGATGGTGCTTGTTCAGTATATGGAGGATTAGATACTAAACAATGCTATTGGTTAATTAAAGAGGATGGTTTTTACTTTGCTAATCAAGAGCACCCTTCTCCCTCCTCGTTGTTCAAATTACATGATTGGGCATAAGGAAATGAAAATGGTGTTTTGAAATTTTGATGTTTGCTAGTTTGTAAAGGTAAAATTTTGGAATTGAATCAAGCACTTTCTATGTCTTACTCTCCTATGTTTTCTGGCTAATCCCATGGCTTTCTTTATACTTGTATGTTATTTTTGAGGAGGTAGAAATTTTAAATTTTTTTCCGGTTATTGTTCGTCTTAGGTAAAGACACCTCGTTTGTTTTTATTAATATTAAGACGTTTGAACCTGAATATATATTTGTATATATTCAGATTGAGACGTTTGAATATGAATGCACATATAAATTTATGATTTGTATCAAGATACGAATACACATATGAAATTTAATATTTGTACCAAGATATGAATACTGAGTGATTAAGACTGTTTGTTTCATTAACATCTGAATGTACAAAATTATCTTTATCTAAAAGATAATTAATGTAAAATTCAAACAAAATTCTGCAATCGAGGATGGTGGGTGGTGGGTGGTGGTAGTAGATAATGACGAACAGTGACAACTATGGTTGAGTATGATGGTAGTGGTTGTGGTTAATTATGGTGATGGTGGTTGATAGGTGATGGTAGTTGATAAAAGTGGCACGTGGTAACATTTAGCAGTAAATGCGGATGATAACATATTAATGAAATTTAGACTTTATTATAGTCTTAATTATCCAAATCTGGTCAAATCTTAAGTAGTAAAAAAAATTAATAATTAAAATTTAAATGATGAAAATATGAACTTAAAAAATAAGTACACTTAGCAACTAAAATTAAATAATTAAATTCAAATATTCATTAAGTACAAACAAATGATATGAAAGCGATAAGCAAAAGTGGAATGATAAATGGAAATAATGAACCCAAAATATAAAAGACAAGGGTGCTCCATTAATTTTTAATATTGATCTTACAATGGTCAAAATCATTCGTTCGGATCACTCTATTTTGGATTAAGTCGATTTGATGTAATATATTTTTTATTTACAACTAGACAAACAGATGACAGAACCGAAATAAGGTCGGTTTATTAGTTAACCTTTTCTCTTTTAATTTAAATTATTAAATTTCTTTGAAAAAGTTAGGAAAAAATGGGGAGAGATAAATAGATAATGATAACAAGTCAACAAGATGCATGTACCTGTTTAGATAATTTAGAAAAAACGAATGCTCAATTTTGATGTGTTTTTTGTTGAATTAAATTATTCACCTTTAACTTGTCGAGACATCTTTTATCTGAGTCTTTTAAAAAATTAATAACAATTCCTACAAAATCGATGTTAGAGACATGTAAAGTAAATATGGCAAAAAATTCAGATGCAGGAATTATTACTCTAGATTAAAGTGTGATAAAGTTCTCCAAAAATCAGTAGTTTTGGCAATGTAACTACAAAAAAGATGTAATCTTTAGTGAGAATACTTAGTAAACCTAATATTAATAAAACATTGTCCATCATTCTTAAATATTAAAGGAAAAAAATACAAAATTAACCGCTCGGCCAAAACTAATAGCATTCTCTAGCTAAAAAGTGTATAAAACATGTATATTTTTTGTATATTACACACACACAACACACATATAACACACACACACATAGCTTCTGTTACAAAGAGAATTTTTCTCTTTGTAACATTCTTCTTCCTAACGTCTTCAGAAGATTTTACCAGAATATATGAATTAGTAATTAGTATATAGAAAACTTTCTATTCAGATAGGCAATGTTTACTATGTCAGTAACATTTTATAGGAAAATACATATTTTCATGCAGGAATGGAGCGGCGTTTCGCAATATCAAGACTGAATGGGGTTTCTCAAAATGCATGTCCTGTGCAACATTTAAAGATCCCTCTAATGGTTACCTTCATGATAATGTTATTTTTCTTATGTTTTTTATTGGTGATACTGATATTGTCTTTTTTCGTCTTCTTGAGCCGATGATCTTTCGGAAACAACCTCTCTACTCCCTCGGGATAGGAGTAAGGTCTGCGTACACACTACCCTTACCAGACCCCACTAGTGGAATTTTACTGGGTCGTCGTTGTTGTTGTCGTCGTCTAATGGTTACATTGTTAATGACAGTTGTATCTTCGGAGTAGATGTATATGTCACCAATAATCATGGAGTAGGTGAATGTATGTTGTTGAAAGATGTCAAGGCTTATAAGCATGAATGGAATATTTCTCAATTCACAAAATTGAAGAATGAGTTGTTTTCTGAGGAGTTTACTGTTGGCGGTTACAAATGGTATAGTTGTTCATGTCCTTTATATCTGTCATATATATTTTTCTTTCTTTCACACATTCTTCTCTTTGTAGTGTAAATACAATTTGATGTGTTTGGATGCAGGAAAATTTTGCTGTATCCTACAGGTGATAGTAGTCAAAATGACGAGAGCATCTCCATCTATCTTGAATTAGTTGGTGCTAAAGGATTTGATTGTCAAAAAAGGGTCCAGGGAAAATATAGCATTTCTGTCAAAGACCAGATTAGTGCTGCACATCGCGAGATGACTAGTACGTCCTCTTGTTCCTTTATTTATTGAACTGTTCTTTGGTTCCCGTATTTGTAGGTAACAACTGTTCTTGAGCCGAGGACCTATCCGAAACAAACTCTCTTCCTTCATAAGGTAGGGGTAAGGTCTACGTACACACTAACCTCCCCAGACCCCACTGTGTAGGATTGCATTGGGTTTGTTGTTGTTGTTGCATTTGTAGGTAACGTGTCGATTTAAGTATCCCATTATTCAAGCATCTGTCCTTAGTTCAACATGCCAAATAGTTATTTTCCTCAGAGCCATCTTCATTCGTTAAACCAGTGTCATTACACTCAAGGGAGGATCCATGTGAAGGGATATGGATTTACGTGCACCCATACTTCCCTCGATCGTAATATTATATCTTGGGAAAATACATATGATGTAACCTATACTTGTCCGAAAAAATTAGTTTCATGCTTAACCTTTACGGGTGTCCTACTACCTCCCTATTGTTGTCCAAAGTGAATTTAATACCCCCTCAAAGCTGATCCGGCGAAGAATGTGTTATCACATTCCTATATGCGCGTGCAAGGCAAGAAAAAAATTAAAAAATGATTAAACTATGCACGTGTTATCTTTTAATCGGATGTTATCAACTAATTGCACTTCAACATTTATTCTTAATATTTTTGCATTGTTTATTTTCTTATTCTTTGTTCTTTTATTTCTTTTTCCTTTGCTTCGTTTCCTCGTTTCCTCTTCTCCTTTCTCTTCTTAATCCCCAGATCTTTTCTCTTCTTTATTTTC